TTACCCACAGAAACTCCCAACTTCAAAACTCCTCGGGAATCAAGACTGACTGATCTCGGGGCGGGGGGGACCAGAAAGGATGAACCAAAGCCTTGTGTGCATATAGGCACAGCCCACGGACACAGACAATAGTGCGGTGAAGGCCTGGGGTGGGGCGGGGGCTGGGTGGAGGGGAGCAAGCATGGTGGGGGTGGAGGGGACATCTTAATACAGTCAGCAATTAAAAAAAGAAAGAAACAATAGGAAAGGGAATGGGAGCAGTTAGCACACAGCTCGCCTGTCCTCTTTATACACATCCCGTCCCCTCCACCCACTCACACACACACAGAGCACCCACAACCCTGCGCTGGGCTCCTAAATCTTTGCCTGAACCACATGCATGATTCCTGCCTGGAGGAGGTCGCACTGTGTAGAGACACAAGCTCAGAGCTACCGGGAATCCCCTCCTTCTCTCTTCTCTTTTTCCTTTATTCTACCTTTTTTGTTGCTCTTTAACCCCTTTTTGTTGTCCTTTAACGCTGCCTTAAAGCAGAAACAGCACCCAAAACCCATGGTGAGACCCCTGCTGGCCCTCAGGACGGAAAGGTTTTGTACCCTGTGTTGAAACATGGTTCCTATAACACAAGTCCCGGGTGAGACCCTGAGAGAAGACAGGCGTAGGTTTTGCCTGCACTGGGGCCACTAGCTGGACTGCTGGCCGAGTGAGCACCACTGGCCAAAAGCTAACGCGGGCAGCTTCCTTCCTTCCTTCAACCCGAGACTCTCCAGAGGCTGGGAAGCGCCTGGTTGGCCTGGCTTCCCCGCTCCGCAATCATTCCTAACATGAGACAGACAGCTGAGCCTGCCCATGTGGCCATGTTTGAGCATCCACCTATGAACCAGGAGGTCACAGTTGGGTTCCAGGTCAGGCACATGCCCGGGTTGTGGGCTTGATCCCCAGAGAGGGGTGTGCAGGAGGTGTTTCTATCTCTCTCTCTCCCTCTCCCTTTCTCTCTCTGATTTCAATTAAAAAATGTTTTTCTAAAAAAAGAAAGCTTGCTGAGAAACAGCCAGTCATATATTTCCTGTTATTCTGCATCACTGCCCAGCCAAAAAGATCCCACAAAGTTATGTATTATTTCTTTCCTTTTCTTTGTTTTGTTTATATATTTAGAAAAAAATGAAAGATTCTGAGTAACTTTGTCTTTAAGCAATACCTTTTTTTTTTTTACAGATTATTCAGACTTCAGAGTCTAAATGAGTTAAGAAATTCAGACAAGGGAAAGAAAATCATTTGAAAACCAACCCCTCCCCCCAAATATATTCCATCAGATATAGTATTTTCAAAATATATCCTTTTATGCCCTCTGATTTTGAAAACATGGACATGTCTTACATACCTAAACTCGTATGTTAAAAAAGACTTATCTTACAGTTCAATACGACAAGAAGAGATATGGGATTACTTCCTCTCGGTAAATGGCCACAAAAAGAAAACTCAATGCGAATGGCCACTTGAGCTCCAGGGAGCACTTCCTGCAGCAGATTCGCCTGTGCCAACGGCATCCTGTGCGCACCATCCTACCCAGCATCGCTCTGCACCCCTAAGTGATGATTCCAGCAGATTCTCTCCCTTCTAGCCTTCCACAGGTTCGGCTTCTTCTCTCTCCCCTTCCTATCTTTTTTTTTTTTAACCACATGGTCCAAAGTTGTTTGCTAACCTCAGCACTAATCTTGCCTTCTGTGCCCTAGAAAAGCTAGTTAAGGCGTGAGGAAAGCCTTTCTTGTCTGGCAGGATGGTTGGGCAACCTGTTTGTGATTCGCATTGTCTCGGTGTTGATTCAGCTGACCTGATCAGCAGATGGGTGTGGCCTTCCTCCTTCACCTGTCATTATCAATCCAGTCGGTGTCTCTGTGCTGTGTGAGGGGCAGGGGGGATGCTGAGTGAGGTAGGTGATGCTGAGCCCCGGGAATGCTGATGTAACAGGGCACGAAGCTTTGCAAGCATTCTTCAGTCTTTCTGTGGCCTCTTGTGTATGTTTTCTAATGAAGGACTAAGACTATAAGCTTCCTAAAACTGTATTCGCTCCTCTATTTCCTTAGTACTTGTAACTGCGATTATATTCCATCAGATATAATGTAATAGAAGTTATAGGTTATAACTTTAAAGGAGAAGGAATTAGCATATAGAATCTCTCCTAGAATTAAGCTGTTTCTATTTGGTTTGGAGAAAAATAATACCCACAGTATGACTGTAAGTACTAGTGATCATCTCCATAGTATGGCCAATAAAACCCCATGTGACATTTTCAATGTTCTAAGTATTAAGTGAACATTTAGAAACCATTAACAGAACTTTAAAAAAGTAACCGCTCAAAGGAAATGTTCTTCCTTTTGCCAGGCCTGCATAGAATAAAAAACTTCTTCATTATCCTATACATTAACTTCGTAGCATGGAGATAAATCTTTGCACTGAGACCGATAATGTGGTAAGAAAAAGATGATCCTTTCCATTTGTCCTTAAGAAATACCCAGAAACAAAGGCTCGCAGTCCTATTCACCACTGATGAACAGTGAACCCTAACATGGTCCATCTAGCAGGGGTTCTCAACCTTCCGAAGGCTGCGGCCCTTTAATACAGTTCCTCATGTTGTGGTGACCCCCAACCATAAACTTATTTTCGTTGCTACTTCATCACTGTAATTTTGCTACTGTTATGAATCATCATGTAAATATCTGATATGCAGGATGTATTTTCAGGGGCCGTGACCCACAGGTTGAGAACCGCTGACTAGGGGAAAGAGAAAAGCAAAGTACCTGCTAGTCTGCTCCTGTCTTCGCCTGCGACCACGACGATCCAGTCCCGCTGGATGGTGATGGCAGTGGCGGTGCTGGCCAGGTTGGCGATGTTGGCGATGGTGATGATCAGGATGTAGCAGGACGTCTACAGTCACAGGGAAAGGGCAAGTGTCAGGGTCCTGCGCCTCCGCGGGCAACGTCCGTCAACATGGCCGTTGGTGGCATAACAATCAAACTGATTTTAACTTCATTCTAACCAACCATTTTATCTTATACACATGAAACCATAGATCCCCAGGGTCCGGCTAAAGAGCACAGTATCTTCCTAATCTGTATCCCCCGTAGCACATATAAAAATCATACTAGTCACATGAATAGTCACGTGACGGTTACCGTAAAGTGTTAACATAGGGGCCGTTTTACTGTTTCCCCCACAGACGTCTCCTTTGAGAAAGTGTTAAGGGGAAAGTGTTGTCTTAGTCTTTTCATCAACAAAAAGGGAATGGACCTGAAGATCTCTACGGTCATTCCTGGCTTGGACACTCCCCAACCTCGACCCAAATATACATGAGAAGATCCAATGGTGACATCAAATCCATCCCTTTCCAGCAAACCCATCTCTCTTTTCCACGAAGCTCTCATAAAAATCATAGTGTGAGAAGCTATCTAGCCCAAGCCTCGCCTCCAAAAATACCAATTTTATTGGAAGAACACAATCATGACTGATTAATATATATAGATAATATTTCTTATGTAGTATGAACGAATTATAGGTTAATACTAGTGGGCTGAAAACTAACAACTGAATTATATTATGAACTCTTAGAAATGCTATTGAAAACAAATAGGAAAAAAACCCATAGGACAAAATTTAAATTCAAACAACTCTTAATGAGTACCTGTTATGGGCAAAACATACACACACACAAACACACACACACACATACACACACACAAACACACACACACACATACACACACACAAACACACACACACACATACACACACACAAACACACACACACACATACACACACACACCAAAACAACAAACCAATAACTAAATAAAACAAAAAGTTGGGGGATATTGTAAACACAGAGATCAGCGTTAAAAGTTCCCATTTGAAAAACAGACACTCCCTGGCCTCCGAGGGCTTTCTTGCACCACTCCCCACGCTCAGCTCCCGCCATGCGGATGGCGGGGAGGACTTACGAGGACCCATCCGTGGTACATGGTCAGCAGCTCGTCCTTGTGCAAGAAGACCATCATCAGGATGATGCCACACAGGATGACCGACACGTTCTGTATCACCAGCGATGTCTGGGCCACTGCAGGGAGAGACCATGCTCACTACATGCCACACCAGGACGACCCAGCGGGCTGCTTCTACCCGTCCATCACTGTACCATTGCCCAGTGCCATGCCAACTACGGCAGGAAATAAAACCAGTGTGACTGCAGTGGATCCCACCTCCCCACTCCCAGGACAGCCACCAGGTCACACCCTGCACTGGCATCGCAGACAGAAGGATGGAGTGCCCATCTCTTTTCCTTAGTTGGAGCCCTTCATAATGACACATTTCCATCCCATTGATTCTCATGAAGGCTCACTACACAGGCAGATACACAGATTACACAGGCGCGATCCAGCTCCCAGCTCTCTCACCCATGGATGCTCATGCCAGAACAGGTAGGAAGTGGTGAGGGAGGGGAAGGAGGGGTCTCGGATCCGTAACCTCCCCGCACAGGCCAACCCTGATCCGATAGGAAGTGCGGGCGCACAGAAGAGACGTGTGAAAGTCTGTCGGGGAAGCAGCACGTGTTTCCTTTGGCATCGAGGTCTGTCTCTGCTGTGGTGCCCTACGCTACCCCTCCCCCCACAGAAAACGCGGCTTTCTCAGAGCGGAGGCAGCCATCCCTGTAGTGAAGCGCGGGCGTCAGGACAGGTGACACCCGGTGAGGACCCCTGGGCGTCTCCTCTCCCACCCGCCAGGCAGAGGACCCCGGGCAGGACGCTGAGGTCCCACGCGCTGTGTCTGGACGGTGAGGCCAGCACACACCTGCCTCCCTTCCTGCAGAGTCTGATGCTCCAATAAAACGCTCACCGAGAGCTCCTTAAGCAAAGCGCCGCGTGTGTGTGTCATGACAGCCCGTCTTCAAGGACAGCCACACGCAGCCTGACTTGGAGGCCACATCACAGCCTCAAGAAACAACAAACCGCCCTTTGAAATTAGCTTGAAGTAGAACCCGGATGTGTAACTCATCCATGGTGCATTCACGGGTTGCACGAGGATTGAAGAGCAACGGAACAAGGTTCTTAGCTCTCGGGACCCCACCTGCTCCAGGGGGGATGGACAGGTGAACAGTAACCACCAGGGTGTACGCAGCACAGCAGAGGCATGAGCTGAGGCTGATGGGCACAGAGGGAGGAGGGTTAGCTCTGCCTGGAGACCAGAGGAGACTTTCATGGAGGCGCCAACGAGCTCATTCCACGGGACCCAAGCGGGCGCCTGCTGGCCCACCAGCTCTCCTCCAGCTCGGCGTCCCCTCTGCCCCACAGCGTCAGTGCGCCACAATCATGGCTAAACCCCCCACGGATACCATGTCTCTGCTCCTGTGAATGATGGTGTAAAAAGCCAGGAATTCTTTTCTGGGATAGAAACATTTTTCTATCCGCATTTGGGTCTATTAATCCTCACAACAGAAAGATGTGCATCTTGACCACTTTACTAAAAGCGTCAGGCCTCAGGATTTGATCATCAGGGCTCTCCTCACACTGACTGGAACAAAGGGTAGCCCAGCCCTCCCCCAGCATCCGAGACAAACACGGACGGCTGGGCCTTCGCATGATCAGTGGAGCAACTGAGGGAAACGCTGCCCTATTCATCCGGATACTGAACTGCTCACCCACGTTGTCCCTTTCCTGTAGCAACCTGACGATGTCAGCATTCATGCCCGGAGTAAATGTGAATGTATTTCTCTCTTCTTTGCCCTAAAACATGTATAACTCGGCCCTCCGCGCGGCAGACTCAGCCATTCTCTCTTGAATCTGTACTTTCCAATCCCCTGCACACACCTCTGCGTGAGATAGTCGCCCAGGGCGCGGGAGCGAGCCTGCCCCAGGAGCCTCACACTAAAGAGACTCCAGTGTGAGTCCTGGTGAGGAAGAACCAGAGTCTAGCAAACTTTCAATGTTTAACACGGTTCTCAGAAAAGCCTACGGGGTTAATCATTGACATGTGGGATGTCTGAACAGCCAGAGGTGCTCCCCCAACCTATGAGCTCAGTATCCTGTCACCCTAGCCTTGCGCAGGGGCCCAGAGCCTCCGTGGGGAGGAGCTACCCAGCCCCCCAGCACTCAGCGGGGCGCACAGTAGGCCGCCACAGGGGTTTCCCTGCAGCTCAGGTGCTGGTCCATAAATACAAAGGCATGGCTGTAACAACACTCACCTTTATTATTATTTTTTAAAATGTGTTCTTATTGATTTCAGAGAGAGAGGGAGAGGGAGAAAGAGAAGGAGGAGAAACACCGGTGATGAGAGAGAATCACTGATCGGCTGCCTCCTGCACGCCCCCTACTGGTCATGTGCCCTGACGGGGAATCGAACCGTGACCTCCTGGCTCATGGGTCCACGCTCAGCCACTGAGCCACGCCGGCCGGGAAGCACTCACCTTTAAGCCTGGCGTTCTTGTCCACCCAGTCGCCGATGATGGCCCCGAGGACGAGCACGGACCCGGCCACCACCAGCCCGTAGACGGCTGTCAGCAGCAGGCTGTTCCCATAGAGCTCCACCAGGAACACCGACACCGCGAAGTGCCACATCCGGTCCCCCTGGAACCAGAGGGAGACAACGGTGGCCGAACCGTTTTCATTTCTGGTCAGTTATTCTCAGGAAGCGGCTTGCTTCTCTGAGGGCACTTTCGGGCCCCTCAGGAGGTTTTCAAGGATGGGTCCTCTATGGATGGAACACTGGCCACGGGCAAGACTGTCCATCCTGCCACAGTGGAGGCTGCTCTGGCTCAAGGGCTAAGCAAACCGGAAAGAACATGCTACTAGTGAAGCACACAGAATCCTTTCCATTCCAGAAAAAACACGTTTCCGGACCTAAGAAGGTGTTTTAAGGCAAAAGCCGATGCCTAGTGTGTCAGGTTCCGAGGTGGAAGGGCCTGTCCTGAGGTAGTTTACCTCTGAATCAGCATGAACCTAGAGCAGAGCTCATGAACAGTAGGGTGCCTTGAATGCCAAAAAAAAAAAACCCCACAAAAACCCACCAGTTTCCTAATTTGTAAAATGATAAGAATGAACCATCTCTAAAGCCTTTTGTACCTCTAATGTTCTAAAATCTATGCTTCACTTCACAAACAAATTTCAAAGTCATAAAACAGCAGGGCAATCAGAAAGATGAAATTAGTATGGGCCAACTCAGGCACCGCATAAAAGAAGACATCAGAAATAAATGCATAGCAAGCAGCCATTTTTACACTTTAACAAAGATGGGTTTTGAAAGGGGAAAGAAATTACTTATTTCTTCACTAGAGGCCTGGTGCACAAAATCCGTGCACTGAGGGTGGGGGCGGGGTCCCTCAGCCCAGCCTGCGCCCTCTCACAGTCCAGGAGCCCTTGGGGGATGTCCGACTGACGGCTTAGGCCCACTCCCCATCAGTCAGACATCCTTAGTGCTGCTGCGGAGGCAGGAGAGGCTCCCGCCACCGCCGCTATGCTCACCAGCTATGAGCCTGGCTTCTAGCTGAGCAGCCCTCCCCCTATGGGAGTACATTGACCACCAGGGGGCAGCTCCTGCGTTGAGCGTCTGCCCCCTGGTGGTCAGTGCACATCATAGAAACCAGTTGTTCTACTGTTTGGTCTATTTGCATATTAGCCTTTTATTATATAGGATTCCAGAGTATACAGGGAGTTTGGGAATTCACCACTGCAAAATGTAGCATAACAAACTTTTCAATGAATCAGTTAAATTAATGTATAAGAAATCTATAATGGACCTTGTTATATTTTAGGCTCCATTCCTAATAGGTTAACATAAAACAGGACAACACTGTTCTATCATAACCTACCCCTGGAAATCACTACAGGACACATTTCCAGGCTAGATTCTTATGGGATGGGAGAGAGGAGGTACTCAATTCTGACCTCCATTCCTCTAAACAGCTAGCTCCCAAGGAAAAGACTAAAACACATAAATGCACCAAATGGGAGGTTGCCTCAACAAGTGAATTTCCTCTTTTTTAACCTAAAGAGTAAGAAATATTATTCCACACTATTGCTTCTTCCTTTTTGTTTTTCTATTCCTATCTTTTTTCCAATGGAATTTGTTTTAGATTCCTCCAGAGCATCAAAACAGATGCTATTCAGAGGCAACTTTCTGTCTTGCTTATTCTGTATGGCATGGCCCTTCCTTGATAGAAGGGAATAAAATTGCTCCAGTTACCCCAATTTCCAAAGCTTTTTCGTTGTAAGAAGTAACAGCTTCTATGCTCACAAAACCCCCAAATCGGGTAAACTCTAAGTAAATGTTGACCAAGTACAACTGCAAGCCCACCCGTTCCTTCCTTACGTTCACTCCCTGCCTTCCCATAAGCTCCGGCCATACTTGCTTACATGTCCATCTACACCCAGTGGACTAAGAGCTGAAGACCCACTGAATATCAGTGTGTGAACAATCACAGTCATTCCTCAATAAGTTCCTCTCTTGTTGAGAGGGACTACGGAGGCACCAGAGATTCAAGTGCATGAAAATCAAGGTCCATGGTCCCATGCACCTTGCATCCCAGTGAACAAAGACCAAAAATACATTTAGAATAGGTCAAGCAGTGTAAATGCATGACAAAAAATAAAGGTAGGATGGGGTTGGAAGGTGGCATTTTGCATGAGGCAGTGACAGAGACCTCTACGAGCAGGGACCGGAAGGAAGGGAGGGCTGGGCCATGCAGACATCTGGGGTATAAAGGGAGACAGGTCATAGGATGGTGACATAAGATGGAAGCAACTGGCATCCCTTTCAATGCCTTTCACTACAGGTTATCTTTCTGTGAGTAGATATAGTTGTTAAAGCCCATACTAACCTATGTTAAAAGCTCCCTGATAGAATCCACTTCTTACACTACTTAGTATTTTATATAGTGTCTAGTGCAGTGGTTTACAACCTGTGGGTCGCGATCCCTTTGGCGGTCGAACGACCCTTTCACAGGGGTCGCCTAACACCATCCTGCATATCAGATATTTACATTACGACTCATTACAGTAGCAACATTACAGTTATGAAGTAGCAATGAAAATAATTTTATGGTTGGGTCACAACATGAGAAACTGTATTTAAAGGGCCAGAAGGTTGAGAACCACTGGTCTAGAGGAAAACATATGGATCCACTGGCAGGTAGAAATGAAGTCAGAAATAAAAGCTTTCAACCCTACACATATTTAAGCTCATATAACCTTCTACGGTAACACCTCCATATTCAGTGTATAGGAAGCCATGGTTTGGGGCAGGGAAATAGATAGATAGATGTAGATCCATCAGCTATGATTGTAGTTGCTGGTTTTTTGTTTCTTTGTTGGGGGGGGGGGGCTTGCTTTAAATATAACTTTCCCACAAGAACTCCCTTTGCTCAACTTACTTGTAAAATTGCCATAGCTTCTCACTTTGCTATGGAATTTACATTCTGACCAAACAACCCTCTTTTGGCAAATCTGACCTCCCCACCTATGAACAGAAGGTCACACAAACCCTAAACGTACTGGGATTTGGAAATGAGGCACATCGCTGCCCTAATGGACAGGCCCAGACCATAGGTGAGAATTTCAGATCCTCTCCATCACTGGTGATTGTTTTGTGTGCTTTTTCAATACTTCATACTTACTGAGTTAAACTGGAACACCAAACCACTGAGTTAGATTAATGGAGAGGACTCTCACTAGCTTTCCACCCAGAGCCGGCAGCTACTGGAAATGAAACCTGCGGGATTCCTCCTGCTCACATGTGCCTGCAGGGCCCCTGTCTAGGCCTCGGGAGAGAGGCGCCTGCCTCCCGCAAGGCCAGCTCTGCTGCTGTTTCTTCAGGAACTGATAACCCGGCTGAGCATTCCCCCAGGGCCCGGGCGCAGATTTCCTCCTACGATAGGGGGCATGCACGTCTTCAGGACGATTTATGAGATGTTTCCAACTTAAAAGGAAAGCAGCCGTCACCAAAGGTCCTCTCAAAACTCTTTCTCCTTACCTACGGTTCTTAAACGTACTCAGACTCATCGCTTCTGAACCAGAAGAACAATTGCTTAATTTTAAAGAGTCTAATCATGAGTTAAATACACATCCAACACCCTTTTGGGATTAGTCTTTCTGGGGGGCGGGGGGCGGTTTGAGGACAGAACCCAGGCCCACAGAAACACAGGGCCCTTACAACACCACCGAGGAAGTCAGAGGAAACACTGGGTCAGGTGATGACTTTCAGTGCTTGATGGTTTCAACATAGCCTGAGGGGCCCCACCCGTACCTGCCTACAGGTAACAATTTTAAAGGCCAGGCTTTTCATCACTCAGGCATTTGTGCTGGGGGTCCATTCTATGTACATTAACCTTAGGATGCTATGTTCAGCCTAAGTCCATCACTCTGCTATTCTCCTGTAATCTCATAGTGCAGTATGCCGAAGCAAAAATTTAACAAAAGAAAATTAAAAAATTGAACATGAAGGAAAGAACAGAAGGTATCTGAGACAGCCATTCATTCTTAGCAGCAGATATGACCACTTACTAAGCCTGGTAACGAAAAAAACAAACCATTGACAAACAAGGCAAGTACTACTGCTGTGGTTAAAGCTGTCCTTCGCTACTTGTTCAACCTACATAAAGTGTAATAACCTGATAATTAAATAGTATTTACTAACCCTGTGGGAAAATACCCTGGGGGGAAAAACACTTTTTCATAAAAGCATGTGTTTGGATAATGTTATGTCTCTCGCTGCCCGACAAACAGGAGGGTGGCTTGAAAGAGCTGGCCCCAGTCAAAGGAAACCAGAGTTGTGCAAGTGTGAGGTAAGAATGACTGCACAGGCTCACTTACCCAAGTGGATAAGAAATGGCCCACGTAGAGAAGGAACTTCGCCGAGGTCAGGTAGTTTGTTAAGGATCCTGCAAAGACACCCACGGGGCGGGAGATCAAAAGCATATTTTGGCCCTGGAGTTAGAGGAGGTTGGAATGTGTGTCCGTTTTAAAGGACCGTGAAGCAGGACGATCAGGAACGACGCGGTGGGGTTGGCCACTGTCATGTTATCAGGCCCGCGCG